CGCTCCCATCCCTGTTAGAGCGGCTGGCAGGTCGCCTCGAAGCGCTGCCTCTACCCTGTTACGCCTTGCCCCTGCTGACGTCTCTCCTTCGCTGGTTTTTCCTGTGGTTTACTTTTGTCGTGTGTATGGTTTCTAACCGAGCCGTGTGGTTGTGGTGGGGACCATCACCTCTCCCTGTGCGTCTGCGGTGGGCCTGGCCTTGGCTTGATGTCCGTCACAAATTGCAGTGTTAATTGGATCCAAACACAAGTCGCTAGTATAAAGGATGAAGTGAACAAATTTACTGGAATCAAAATATTCTTTTCCAGTGCTACAGTTTGCTTCCTCTATTTTAAAACCTCTCTGAAAAAAAAAGCTGCTGGGGTTTTTTCTGGTCTGAAAGTAGCTTCCTGTCCACTACATAAATCTCAATGTTCCCCTCGGAACAGAGCTTCAGCCTCACTTCTTATTGTGCTCCTTTTTCCTGTAGCCATAATGATATTTAAATCATCCAAAAACCAGAAGCTGTCAGAGCGTTGCAAAATACCAAGGGCGAGATTCTCGGTCCTTACGCCGTGTAGAAAGGTTTGCGTGTGGGAGCCGCAGGTTCGTCTTCTCCAACAGCACGCCGTGACGGGAGGCAAGTCAGCACTGAGACCGGTCTCTGTCGCTGCGTTCGAGCACGCTGTTCCCTGCCCCTGCTCTGTGCATCAGGATTTTCCATACGTTAGAAATGAAGTTCTGTTTACGTTTAGAAAACAGGAAACAGCTTTCTGGCTTATTCTTGTGTGTTAATAAGGCCTTTGGCAATTTACGCTGGAACAGAAACTACTTATTTTGTGTTAATGACTGGGAGCTGGTATTCATCGCTCTGCTTCTGAATTCAGTGATTCACTCTATAAAGCGGTATTAATGCATTGCAAAATTAAGTGTTCACTCGTAAGTGGATTTAGAAATTACGTTTACAGTGCAGCTTCAAAAACTGGAAGTCTACCGCTTGTTTAAGTAAGAAAAAGTTCAGTAATATAAAACCTTCCTGCAGATGCCAGTAAATCTCTCACAGATGGGGCAAAACGGGCTTTTGCATCGCTGACGAAGCAGCTTCGAGCTAGCGGTGCTCCCGCGGGCGCCGTGCTGCTGGAAGGCAGGCCGTGCCTGCCGCCCGCCCTGCCCGGGGAACTTTTTGTGCCTGTCTTGCTTGAAGCAGCACCGTTTGCCAGCATCCCTTGACAGGCCGATTCTCTGCGCCCTCCCGGCACCCGGAGCGGTGCTGAAGGAGGAGCGGAGGAGAAGGAATGGCTCCCGCGTGGGATCCCAGCCGTCGGCTGCCGTCGGTGGGTTTGTGCTGCTTGATGTTTCCGAAGAAAACGTCTTACATTTTTCGGAGCTGAGAGCAGGTCTTACATGGGCAAATCTGGGTAGCTCTCGTTTATCTGGTTTGCTCACTTGACATAATGATGGCAATTAAGACAGATACTGTGTTTGAGCACTGTAATTTCTGCTGTGTGGATCTCTGCGGGGCATTGCTTCAGAGCTGGAGCTCGAGCAAGGCTCAGAATCCCGCTCCAGCATTGGGACATTTATTTTCGTGCAAAGCGAGTGGTCCCCACCCCCATTTCCCTGCTCTCTGTCAGCGATTG